CCCCTGTACGCGTTGTGGTCTTGGTCGAGGGCTTAGGGTTTAGGGTTTAGGGTCCAGGCCAAGGGGCAGTGAATAGCATCGGGAAAAGGACACGAAAATGACCATGAAAGGGGCCATGCTTGACAACGAATCGCACCGCTTTCAAGCTTTCGTCCTGGAAAGGATGTGAACGGTGCTGCCAGGTGCCAAGTAGGAATCCTTAGATCTGGAAGGCTTCACCCACACAACATGAGGCGTCGCAAGAATCAGCCGATAAGCTTTTGAAAGGATAGAATGGAACAGGCAGAGTGCACGCTTGGTGAGCCCCCACCTAGGTCGCCGATGCGATCCCAATGCTCACCCTAGCTGCGATGATGTCGAGTATTTCCACGAAGTCTGGAGGGCATCCAAACCTCTGCAGGCTCGCTCGGATGCATTGAACTGTCAGGTGCCAGTTGGCCCAGGGTTTAGGGTTTAGGGGTTAGGGTTTAGGCCCAGATCTCAGGTAATGGACGTCTCAATAGAGCCGAGGGACAGCAGAACGACTTTGGGGCCACCAACGGAAGCTGTCAAGCAGATCTGTCCATCATCACGCAACTTGGCGCCGCAGACCGTGTGGCAACATCAATGCTGCATGTCTGGGCATAAACTGCCCGGAAAGCGCTACTCTAGCTGATGAACCGGTTTCGCTGAGGCTGGCGCGACATCTGCGCAGCCTAGGTTGCGTGCAGATGATGCATCACATGCCGAAACAGACAAGAGCAGCAAGCAGCTGAAATTGCCGCTTAGTCAATAGTTACCGCGCTTCGTTACTGGTGTACTCCTGTACTTGCCCCACACCAAATACTGATTAGACATGACAACGTGGTAGTTCCAATGTTCCACTAGGATTGCTGCCTAGTCGCAAGAGCCCAGTGACACAGACACATTGTTGGAGTTTCTTGCGAGCGGTGGCACGCAGCGCCTGAGCAAAGCCGCTCCCACTAGAACGGTTTCAGTCGGGACATGCATATGCACGAATCCTTGTACCGCGAAGCACTAAACAACCACGTTGGGTATGTCAGCGCGAGGAAATGCTCGGAGTGAATCGGCTTGCTGGCTTGCTTACATGGGGGTTTCCGAAAATAGGGGACCCTGATATAGTACCCTAAATAATAGGATCCCTATTATAAGGACCCCAAAATAAGGTACCCCGTATTTTCGGAAACTCCCACATGCTTCGAGCTCTGCACCTGCCAGCCATCGCATCTTTGGCAAGAACGACGAGGATGTCCGTGGACTGCCCAAAAACGAGGCGTCGTTCTGATGCACTTACACCCGAGCCCGTGGCGCTCCGGAGCACTAATTCCGACCTTCATGGTGTAGCCAGGTGCAGGAATGAGGCGCCCCTCTGGCAAATCAGCACTTCTGATCCCACCTCAGCGTTTCATCTGTGGATCTGTGGTGGCCTACATTCTCTTTTTGGAAATATCGCCGCCACGCGGCAGATCACCGCATCCGGGAAAAATCTCGCAACATCCTGCCAACATTGCTGCCATAACCCATTATGCAACGAGCCCCCGTGAAACGTTCATCTTGGGCCTCACATCACGTTCGAGACCCTGCCTTCAAACTGAGAGACTGAAAGCCCCAAGGCGCCTGAAACTTAAATCCCACCACCACCGAGGGCGTTGGGACAAAAAGGATATTGGAGTCGCCCTTGAAGGAAGTCAGTGCCAAGTACCTTGGGGCACGTTTAGCGAGGGGGGTTGGGAGTTTGGGGGTGTGGATCAGGGGTTTAGGGTTTTCGACTCTCACTCTCGCACACAGCAGGCAAGGCTCCACATGTCTGTTTAGGGTTTTAGGGGGTTTGCTCTGGGACCCGACCCACACGAGGCATCCCAAAGCCGACATGTAGAGATGTAGAGAATGACAGGAGAGATGTCTGATCTTCTACACGTGTATGCATGCATGAAGCCTAGCTATGTGTGTACCCGTGTCATGATATTTAAAATTCGTATGACCCATATAGAATCACACATCGGAGCATCAAGACAAGTATGAATGTCGAAGAATTACAACACTACACATAAAGGTTTATAGTATCTGCGGGCATGTACGCACGTAAGCATGTAGCTATGTGTGCATGTCTGCATGTCTATGTATGTCTGTCTGCCTTTGCATGCATGAATGCAATGCAGTGCAATGGGTGAAAAAGTTTCTGTGCGTGTGTGTGCAATGCGTGTGTGTGTGTGTGTGTGAATGTATGTAAGTACGTACGTACGGACGTACGTACCTACGCAGGTATGTATCTGTGTGTGCAAGTGTGTGTGTATATGTATGTGTGTGGGCACGCATACGCACATGTAGATGTGCCTGTATGTGCAAATGTACTTGGAAGTGCATGCACACTTATGTGTCTGTGCATGCGCATGACGAATGTCTATGTGCATATGCTTCTGTATGTACTATAGAATAGCACATACAACAGATAAACGTATACTGACCTATTCATGGCTGACGTGTCTACGCATGCAAATACATCCATCCACACATCCATGCCCAAAAACAGTACATGCATACACATTCCTCTTCGCTTGTTCAGAAGAAAACGATCAAGAACACTAGAAGACTCAGACTAGCAGACTCAGTACCTACGATTCCTAATTGCTCCATTTACTGCCGGTGTCTATTGGACGGTGGGTAATGCTGATTCGACTTTTACAACTGGGACAATCCAGAGAGTTGGATTCCAGGGGGTCTCCTCTTTACCCGTCCCGCCTGCCGGCCCGTTTGCCAGAACTACACCACCGAGTTGCACATACCCCACGGAAGGTACCAGCGACCGCAAAACCTGAGAAGAGACAAGAGCGGCTTCGCCCGAGTGTCGTCGGCAGTCTTCGTTGCAACTAGGATGTCATGATTCGGCAACACGCTGCGCATCACCGAAATCTGATTGCGGATGCGTGGCCAGCATCCTTCTAACGAGCTGCCTCGCGACCTGAGCAAACGAGGACACAGCCAAGCTCTTCCAGCTTTAAACCCGGAGCCAAAGCACAATTCCGCGTGCTTGCTTGAGGATCGTTTGGGCGACTTTCACGTTGTTCGGATCGCACATCTCCTCAGGAGTCACGCAAGATGCTGCTTTTGCGCAGGCACATTTCGAAAAATGATACAACCAACTTCCCACCATCCTGACTGCCATCAAGCCTCCACCGACACGTCACACGTGACAGGCGAATCTGAAGGCATAGCAGCAACTGCAAGCCTAAGCAAGCTGTATCAGTGCGGTGGCACTCAAAACGAAAATCGAGCAAAGGAGTGCACAGACCCTAAACACGAATCCCAAAGCCCGGAAGCCCTAAACCAAACCCTAAACCGCCATGAACCCTAGCTCTTACGAGGTGCTCTTGCTGCCAAAGAAGCAAGGTGGAGATGGCCTTTACGTCTGAACGCGAGGGATTGCTTGACCTCGGAATGGGTCTTCTCTCGAAGGGCCAGGACTGTACCCACATCGGGGGGTAAGATAGTGGAATGGTTGAGGGTTCTCCGCCAGTCGAGGTCGCTCGATCCATCAACACGGCTGACGCTCTCACAACTCGGACATGCCGTGTTTTCATCTGTGGCGCGGCCGCAGGTATCAGTTGCATTCACCTTCCTCACGCCTCGCAGATCGTGTGCTTGTGGGCGACAGCGCTCGCTTGTTCCGTCGGGTACCGATCGCACACGGCTGAGACTTCCCAGCAGCTGCCCACTGGCTGCCAGCGGTACGACACCGGTTGGTTGAAGTCATAGAGGCACCAGTCCCTGCAGGTGGTAAACATCTTGTTAGCGAGCGCTTTCTGCACCTTCCCGGTATCGGCGCTGTTGCATGCCTTGGCCATGCGGCCCAGATCGGCGCCATTGACTTGGAATTCCGGGCAGTATGTGAGCGCCAGCGCGTCCGAGTGAGATGTATGGAGCGGAAGGCGGTTTGATGGCAACTTGTCCTCGGCGGCAACTACGCGTTGGAGCGCTTGTTCGAGGACTGTGATCTTGGAGTTGCCAGTGTCCGGTCCCTGGTAGCGCATCTTCAAGACGTTGCCGCCCCACCTCTCGCACATGTGAACGGTCAAGTCGTGGGCGCCTGGCAACGGGAACTTGTCGCTGCCCTGCTCAGTTTCTCCATGGCAGCCACCGTTGTCGACAACTTTCTCCCCGTTCAGCCACATAAGAGATCCATCGTCTGAACTGAGGAAGAACGTGTACTTGCCTTCCTTTTTCGCGACCTGCTGACCTGTGCTCCTCATGCAGAATTGTTCGCCTTGCCGGCGGGGAACTTGCCTTGGGAACAACCACTTCGTGGGCCGGTGTCCAATCAAACAAGTCAGGAACTCGGCACTGAGTCTTGTCGTAGAAGTAACCACACCTCAACCCATCCTGGACGACGGGTGCCTGGTATGTCACCGTCTCCATGTGCACCTTGCCATCAATACCCTGCTGGGAGAAATCGCTCAGAGCCGCTACGGCTTTTTCGATGCTGTTCGGCGCGACGAAGGGCAGGCTCCGGAGGACGGCCCGGAAACTGATCGACGAGGTTCAGGATCGGAATCCGTACCCGCGGGCTTTCCAAAGGACCGAAGCCCATTTTCACGCCCAGTTCCGAGTCGTTGCTTAGGCGGCGGTGCGCGGCCGGGCCACGCAATTCGGAGGTCGTGTTCACGGACATGTTCGGTCCATACTCCACAGATGCCAAGCAGAGCCGCGTCGGCCCACTGCATCGCGACCTCTTCTTCGGCCTTGTCGTCATGGCTGCTGTTGGTCTGCAGCAGCTCCGAGCTGCTCATAGACTTGATGCGGCTCATGGACTTGATCGCCGACGTGCTCTCCAAGTCTGACCCCGGCGGGCGCGGCAGGCCAGGCTGGCTTCGGATGGTTGCCTTCCCGTGGTTGAGGTTACTGCCGGCGAAGTCCGTGTTGTCACCGAAGCGCTTCGTCAAGTGCAAGGTGCGGCTGAGGAGTACGATGCCTTCCGAGCAGAACTCAAAGTGGAGGACGCTGATGTCCACGCCACCGGGTGCCCCTTCGGCCAGCAAATTTGGATGTCAACCTCGAAGAGGGGTGTGGGGAGCACGTCGAACTGTATGCCGCCCACGAAGGCCACTACAGGCTGCAAGCCCAAAGCGAAGGTGACCGTCATGCACTTCTCGATGTTCGACCTCGTTGTGTAGGAAGTGTAGCCTTGCCACTTGTCCCTGCTGCATCCAGGGTCACAGGGAACAGCCCACGGCGGCTGTAGGAACTTGTCCTTGCTGTCCACCCGCCAGTCTTCGTCGCCTGGTTGCCGTTGCCGGTCTTCGTGGCGCGAAGGCCAAGCAGGAGCCGGTGTGCGTCTCCTTGCCCTCGAACTGCGTAGCCCCGTGGTCTGGGGATGTTTCGGGTCCATAATGCCCAATCTCAAAAGTGATCGCTCCAACACTTTTGTCATCGTCATCACCGCCCGCGACGCGTTGGCGCCCGTCTGCAGTGTGGACATCCGCTTCGGCTCCTTGACCCCGGTGACCCCTGGTGTGGTGACTGGGAATGCGTTTTGATGACGAGGTTCTTGCCGGCGTTCACCGCGGGCTGTGCGCCGATCTCTGGGAACGCAGACGTGGCAACCGTCTGCACCATGTCCGAGCCCTTGTCCAAGGCATTCCTCACGACCTTTTTTGGCGAAGGTCCCGATGAAATCGCCGAAGATCTCGCCCAGGCATGACAGGAAGTTCAGCGGGGGCACTTCTTGGAGGATCCGGAAGCCGAAGCACTTGATGATGTCTAAGGCTAAGGCCCCTGAGCCACTCTCACAGTTCACGGGACGAGCTCTTCACCGAGGGTGACCACGGCAGTCAGCGGTGGGATTTTCGACACAATCTGGTCAACTCTCGATGGCATTGACAAAGTTGATCATCTTTGGAAAGGGTTCAATGTGATGCACGTTGATTTCTTCCCTGCCCAAGTCGAAGTCGTACAGACGAATCGTATGATGCATGATGGTGACCGTGCACTGCCAGTGCCCAAGGCTGATGAAGAGCTTGGCACCATCAACTCCAATGTCCGGGGTTGGGGCAATCAGTGCCAAAGCCGTCGCCTGCGCCCAAAAGCGTGTCGACAGCAGCCTCAGCCAAGCCTTGAATGCTTCCCCAAGGATTGGGTGCGAATATTGAGAACCCATCTTCGCGCTGTCGCCGGGTGGTACTCCCTGCACTCTGGTTGTCGTGCTTCTCAACCACCCTCTTCAGGACGTCATGGGCTGCCTGCGCGCTCTCCTCAGCTCTTCTGTGCCATTGAGACCTCCGCTCCATCCGGGTCAACCTTCTCTTCCAGCTTCTCAATCCGCTGATGCTGCAGCTCTGCGATGGGTCTCAAGCTGGGCGACCTTCGGCCCAGCTCGCCCATGCCCCCACCTTTCTCACCGCGCCCACCCTTCTCACCTTTTTCGGAGCCCTTCTCCTTCTTATCGGGCAAGGAATCGAACTCCTTCATGTCAGCGACCAAGGTGTCGCCAACAAAGTCGGTCACGTTCTCGAGAGGATCTGACAGGATCTCCTCTGCGAAGCCCGTGCTCGCTCGACCACACGGCTCTCGAAGACTGCCCGGTGTTTCGGTGCTTCGGCGCTCACACTCGGACTCAGGGGGTTTGGGCGGTTCTTGGCTCCCACGTCACAAGCCGTGGCTTCAGAGGGGGTTTCTGCACGACAAGTCGGGCAAGACGACAAAGGGTTTGGATCGTGCGAGCTCTTCAACCAAGAGGCGTGCTCGCGACCAGGATCTCACTGGCATACGGCGCACTAACTTTCAGCAGTTCGGTCACGTCGGTCGGGTTGCCTTCCTTGTATCCTTAGCAAAGAACTAAAAGGTTGTGCCAGGGTATCTCCCAAACAACGAAAGAGTTGCCAGTCCCAGCAGTCCCGAACCCTGATGAGCAAGTAACTGCCAGCACCACCTGCAACAACGACGAAGGAGTCCTAGCCAATAAGCCCACGAAACACAAACTTGAAGTCCAGAATGATCCAAGAATGAGAGTGAGATGGGCGTGATCGCGGCAGTTCATGGCAGTTCCTATCTACAAACGGGTATAGTAAATAAAGATGATGCTCAGTTTTGGTGGCGCCATTACATGCAAAAAACTGCTGCTGGCAGGGCGCGAATCACAGGAAAGAAGAACCGCGCCAAACTGTGCCGCGACTGCCCGGTCTTACAGTGCATCTGGACCTGCAGGGGGCCCAGGTAAGGCACACCAAGGCAAGATTACTCGCGCACGGAGACGAGTAGGACTTAAGGTTCCTCATGTAAACCATATCAACCGCAACGTTTCGATCAAAACGGGAACGACAACCTGTGGGCAGTAGACATCGGTCGATGCAGTGAAAACGTCACATGATTCCCCCCGCTCTGTTCTTTGGACTCATGAACAATTTGAAGCTGATGCCACTCCACATAAACGCTGGCATGGACACACGGTGACATAAGGATGACCAGTCTTGTTCTCTCCGTGAGCTTCTGGACTCTGGACATGTGGAGGTAGTAGTCGTGGTTGTAGTGGTGGTCGTGGTAGTACTGGTAGTAGTAGTAGTAGTAGTAGTAGTAGCAGCAGCAGCAGCAGTGGTCGTGCTATTTCTTCTTCTGCTGCTACTATACGACAGCAGCAGTGTTTAGCGCCTCTTCGGCCATGTGATGTTCCGAGAGGTCTGCGAGAATCACGATCTGCCGCCTGCTTGGTGATGCAGGAATGTGGGGGTTTACACTCTCACAACTCGGACAAGCCAGGCGAGGATCCATAGGCGCGACAGTGTGGGGGTTTAGGGTTTTGATTCAGGGTTTGGGACTTAGGTCTTATTAGAATAAAGTTTGGGGATACTATACTACAGTTGTATCAAGGGCTCCAACCCGTTTCAAAAGGCAAATGTGAAAGACCAACTGCTGCACAACCTAGTGGACCGAGGTCAGGATCATGAACTCAACAGTAGTGCAGCGGGAGGTCGCTTTGGCGAGCTGCCCATGTAGTGATTTTACGTGCATAATACGTTCATCACTCCTGTCGCTTGCTACAAGGCCCCAGTACCACAAGTCCTCCTGCAGCAGCCACAGCAACGCCGCTTGTCGTCAGAAATGGCAGAGAGCCTTGGGACTTGGAGGCTCACTGCAAACAGAAATGCGAATTGCGAGGAAAGCCGAACGCAATACTCGCCACACTACGACACCACGACGGCTCGCTACTGCTCTATGCTGCCGTGATGCAGCTCATCAACCAGAAGCAAAGTTTTGTCGCCCCAACCAAGAATAAGCCAGTGGTCTTTGGCAGGCACGCTGCTGAATCTAGTGCGACAGTCCTGAGCCAGCTGTCGGCCGCACCGCGAAAAAGCCTGTAAGCTTCATTAAACAGCGACGCCTCTGCATCTCTAGGAGTGCCTGCATGTTGACTGCAGGAGACATGCGGAGTTGTAAGAAATACGGACATACGGGTTTAGGGTTTAGGGTTTAGGGTTTAGTAAGGAATTTCCCGATGAAGGCCGCGAGTCATCCAACACTTCTCGGATCAGGTCCACCACCATACCGAGCAATGTGAGGCAGTAGACGAAACCCACCTTCAAGTCCATCTGGCATGGGGCACAAAGCAAGCCAAGCTACGACTCTTGACCTGCAACGATTCAGTTCTATGCCCTCTCCGAGACACGAAGAGGGATTGAAAACTCCAAATTCTGACTTCGCGGTACCCTCTTCACCCCAGTCCCGACACATTCATTAACTCACAAATCCAGTCTGCAGATGCGACCGAGCTTCCAAGGAGATGACCTTATCCGCGACACGCAAGGCATACCCTAAACCCTAAACCCTTTTTTGCAGCGGGCTTGCCTCGACGCCCGGGGGCTCCCTCTGCCTAAACCCTAAACTTAAACCCTAAACCCTGAACCCTAAACCCTACACCCTAAACCCTAAACCCGAAACCCGAACTAAGCTCCTAAACTCTGAACCCTATGGTGCTGCGCGCGACAAGGAGGTTGCGGGCTGCAAGGCATGGGCACCAGCATGGTCATCTGTAGCCATCCCGAAAGTCTAGCGATAGCAGAAACAAGAGTAGTTTAGGGTTTAGGGTTTAGGGGTTTAGGGTTTAGGGTTTAGGGGTTAGGGGTTTGGGGTTTAGGGTTTAGGGAATAGTAGTAACAATTTCATAGTAATAAGTAATAGTAATGATCGTAGTACTCGCAACTGCAATCGCGAAATAATAATGGTCGTAGTAATAATACGAATAATAACACAAATATTCTAA